TGGGGGGGGGGGGGGGGGGGCTGTAGCCTAGGGGAGTCCCCATTATATCACCCACTGGTATTGTGACTCCTCTGTTCTGGCATGTGATTTGCACCTGAGCCACTCGTGGCTTTTTGGCTTTGGCTGGAAAGTTTTACCGATAAGTTGATCCTGGAATGTTAGAACAGATGATAACTTGTGATTTTCCTTTCCAATGTGATCAATGAAGATTGTCTTTGACTGTTTAATTGGTTCCTGCTATGGCATTATAATTGTCATCGGTTTTTATTTATTTAGCATTCTTTTATGGCTGCAGATGCTCTCTTCGAAGGATGTGAACTTTGTGGGTTACACCTATAAGAACTTTGAAATCGTGAATGATCACGAAGCTCCTGGAATTGGTATTCTGTTCTTCCTTTGACAAATTAGCTTGTGTACCTTTTTATTTTCACATTTCCCACCACAGGGATTGTGATATTCTTTTTGTTTCTTATTTGTGTTTCTTTTAGCTGAAATGAATATATAGATTCTTTCTCATAGCAGGAATAAGGTTGTTGGTGAGTCATGTTGTCCCAAAAGTGATTTTTTTAGGCAATTAGGTTTGATGAGAAAGAAATAGGATTTGAAGTGGGTATATAACTAGGTTTAGTTGGATGTAGCAGAAAATATTATATTAATGTTATGTAATTGAAAGATGTCTACTGAGATAAAGGCAAGTTTAATAGAATGGTTTTAGACTAGTTGCGAGGCTTGTGATGTAAAGCATTTACTGTTGGATCGTTAAAGCACAAAATGTCCATAATGTGAATGAGGCAGTACTGAATATGTTAAGATTGTTATGTGATCTCACTAAAATATTCAAAGTAGGAAATGAGGTTATATGCCAACATGTGATTAAAGACAAATTAAGAGTGGTGTTTTAATTTGTCGAAACATTTCTTGCATAAACCCATAAATAAAATATTCATGGAAAGCACGAACCTAATAGAACGTTTTACCCTAAAATCAACAAATTTTAAAGGGGATAGTTCTGTATTGAAGGAAAAAAGGATTCTTGTAGCTGCACCATGTTTATTGGAGATAAGCTTGGTTTCATATATTTATATACCATTTATGCCAATTTTAACTATTTTCTTTTGCAATTATAGATTTAACAGTTTTTGACCGCCCATATATGCTTTTTCTTTTTATTCTCAGCCCAACTGAAGAAGAAGAGCACAAAACAAAAGAGACCTACTGTGAAGTCCCTTTTCAGTAGGATACTTCTCCCTCTCTGATGGAAACATTCATATGCCTGTTTAGTAACTTAAATATAAACACAAAATAACTATTGAATTTCAGAGTATGTAGTGTTTTTTATATCATCGTTTTGCACGTAACAGATGAAGAATTGAATTCGACTTCCGCTCAACCTGCACGAGGAAGTTTTCTCAATCTGCTACCGTCCACATTGGAAGATCCTAAAACTGGGTGAATCATAAACCTCTACCAGCTGATGATAGTATTAAACAACAGTGACAAAGTGTCAAGATCTTACTGAAATGAATAGGTTTTGTTAGGCTCTTTTCATCTCCATGTACTTAACTTGCAACGACTCGTGAAAAGATGGTTTCGCAGGTACATGTGGCTTATTTGAGCTTGTACAAATCATATCGTCAATGTATATATTTAATTGTTTTTCTATCATTATAGTCATCGATATGTAATTCTTTCTCCTTATCAGCTGTAGATACTGTAATTCACTGCTCATGTAAGTTGAGTACAGATTAACTGAAGCAAACACAATTTTAAACACTGTAGATATTTGTGTTTGAAAGAGGTGTTGACGTTCTATTGTGGTACGGTTTGGTTGGAGTGTGTGATTTCACATATTTTGAAATAATTTCCTTCATTTACAAGTTCAGTAAAGATGTGCTTAATTGGCATGGAAAATGTCTCCTAGAAAAGAAAATGTTTTCTTTGTTTTGAGGAAGTGAAAACCTACCATCTAAGAAAGTGTTTTCCTCAAAAACAAGGAAAATTAGGCATACTTTTAAAGGTTTGAAAGTATTTTTCGTAGAAAAAAATGACAATCAAACACTTTAAAAATTGAATTTTGGTTTGAAAAATGTCATTTTTTCATGGAATTTTTTCCAATCAGACACCCCTATTGAAATTTGGTAAACTTGTAGAGTCTCTCTCCTTATTTTGGACTCTCAAGATGATCCATTACATATTTAGTATTATTGTGAACTATTTTGTCATGTCTAGTATTATATACCAAATGTAGTCTAGCAGTAGGGCCATGGTGCCAAAGATTGTGTGATATTTGAATATTCTTAGACAGGGAAGCAATCAAGAAAGGTTTTTACAGGGCCTTGGGCCATATCTTAGGTTTTAATTTATTGGGGGGTCTTTGATGATAATAATCT